TTGTCACCTTAAAATTATGCCCCCAGTCTTGAAAACCCCCACCCTAGAGAGAAGACACCTTTGAGGCTTGTGAGGTTTTGGACCTTATTTATACCCCTCATGATTTTATTAACCTCTATAAGGTCCCCCCTCAACCTCCTACACACCAGTAAAAGAAGTCCCAGCCTATCCAGCCTCTCCTTATAACCCAAACCCTCCATACGCAGAAACATCCTGGTAAATCTCTTCTGAGCCCTCTCCAGCTGAATAATATCCTTCATATAACAGGGCAACCAGAACTGGACAGAGTATTCCAGAAGAGACCTCACCAGTGTCTTGTACAACCTCAACATAACATAACAATAATTGCAAAGGGTTAGTATGCTGGCACAACAAATAATTAGGAAAGCTGATAGCGTGTTATTATCTATTTCAAGGGGAAATGAATATAAAAGTAGGAAAGTTATTCTTCAGTTGTCCAGGGCATTGCTGGATTGCGTCTGGAGTACAATGTGCACTATTGGTCACCTTATTTCAGCAAAGATATGATTGTATTGGAGGCAGTTCAGAGAGGGTTTACTGAAGTTTAGAAGAATAAGAAGTGACTTGATTGACCCATGTAAGATCCAGGAGGGCTTGACAGGGTAGATGTGGAAAAGAATCGAGACCTGGAGGTCACTGTTTGAAAATCAGGGATCGCCCATTTAAAAAGAGATCAGACACAATTTTTGTGAGATTTTGTAGACCTTTTTCTGAAAATGTGATGGAAGTGAAGTTCTTGAGGCAGAGCTGGACAGATTGTTGTTGAGTGAGGGGATGAAAGATTAGCAGGGGTAGGCAGGAATGTGGATTTGAGGTTACAATCAGATCAGTCTTGATTTTATTGAATGGTAGAGTAGGCATGAGGGGCTGAATGGCCTACTGCTGCACCTAATTCATATGTGTGAGTCTTCAGACAATTTTGTCGTCCCCACAATGTCCCTGCATGCTCCCAAGGCCACCATCTTCTTCCACCCTTTGGCCACCCAAGTGGGCAGCACCAAACGATCATCAAATCCACCAACATTTACCCTCTCCACTCCCAACAGGCAGTAACAGCAAGGTGTACCATCCATAGGATGTACTGTAGAAATTCATTTTGGCTTTCTAGACATGAAAGAGCTGGATTTGAACTTACTTTCTTTATGGAACTTTGTTGGTTTTATGGCGAGCAAGCCTTAGTCAGCCCAAAATGCATGCGGACCTGACCACTTTTCAGTGCTAGAACTTTGCTGAATAACTTGCTTTTAGGCATCTAATTGTAGATATTTTTAACCATCCTGTTCTGGCACCTTATGACATGCCTCTGGGGGAGGTGGAACTTGAATCCATTATCTTTGAGTGACCTCGCTTTCAAGTATCCACACTTTATAGGTCCTATTCATTGTTAAGGAGAAAGCAGAGTCCAGGCACTACCATCATATGCTAAGGGGAAGTGGCTTTTAGGGCTTCAGTCAGTACACGGTATCTGGGTGTTGTGCAGCAAAGTCTCTGTGATAGTGGGTTGGAAGTAATTCTGTACTGCTTCTCTCTCACCCAGTTAGCCTTCACATTAGGACAGGTCATGTAGACTGCTAAATTTCCCTGAAATGCTTGAGCATCCTGGAGGAGAGTATTTAACCTGAGAGAGGCAGTGCTCTGTGCAGCTTCTCTTTAGCAGACCACTGCACTGTGGTGGACAGTAAACATGTGTATTGCCCATTGTCCATCTCCATCCCTCAGGTGCCAGTGTAGTGTACTCCCTTGAAAAACTGATAGGTAGATAGCGTGGACCTTTGCCTCCAGAGATATGTGGATTCATGACTGATTCCCTGCTCTCGCTGACAAGACTGGCATACATTTGGATGGTTTGAATCATAATCTTTGCCTGTAGCCTCAGTGATGTCCACATTAAAGTGCAACTGACTGTTAAAGGATCTGTTTCATCTCGTGATATTTGCGGTTAAGGACTTGGTTGCCTGTGAGAGATGAGCAACACATTGCAACTTCTTTCAGCCTTGGGATGTCTGAAGAGGCTGCTCATGTGTTAAAGAAATGTGACTTCACTGGATCCCACAATGACGAAGAGACTACGGTAGATTCTTTAAAAAAAAAGCAAGTACATATATATTTGCAAAAGTGTAAGAACTTTGGAACAAAATGTCAGCCATGCCATCTATGAGCCCTTAGCATGTCGCCTTCTTCCTCTGCTGCCCACTACATCTAACAGCTGTAGTGACTGCTGCAGCTGGGGTGGAGGGAGTCCGCTCTACTGTTAGCCCTGTTGGACTGGAAGACTTGGCTGGTTGTCTCTGGGGGTCTTTGCGTCTAAAGGGACAAGATCTGCTAACAGTGTCCAGTGAGTGACACTTTTTCTCAATGGGTGCCTGCATGCACCACTCTGTTCCCTTAGGGGAAGGAGAATTTGGGGTGAGGTTGAGTTTCCTCACCACCTTCTGCCCTTGTTGTTGATGCAGAATACCTATGGCTACAGTGATCGAGTGCAGGTCTCTGTGCATATTCGGCAGGCACGAAGTGAGCTAACCCTGCGCTGTATAGTGATAGCCAGCCTGTCCATGGAGACAACTGAAGAGCCTCTTTGCATTATTAAGTTGAACGTGGCAGTGATAGATTGAATGCTGCGAATCTCAGTCAAAAACCCTTAGTCAAACAAAGGAAAAATTCAACCCCATGTGTTTTCCAGACTGTTTCTTCTGCCAAATGGCAAGCTTGTCAAGTAAAACGTTCACATTGTAAAACTAGGAATGTCTATAAATGAGTTAGAAGGGTCTATTTAATAGATAAAGTGATAAAGACTGCATTTTAAACTGTTGAAAGGGTAGCCTAGTATGATAACTACGTGGAACAGTTATCGTTTTTCCAATTGCATTTATGTATTCATTCTGGCCATCGACTAGGGCAGGTGTTTATTCAGGAGGTTTTACAGCTCCAAGCCACAATTTAGCTGCTTAATCGTTTTCTCCATACTTTGCATTATTATAAGCTGCTCAGAAAAAATTTGTTTATTTGCTTGAGGTTCATGGGCCATTCATTGGCTTCAGGCTTGTGAGTTCTGTTCAGAAAGAGGGTGGGTGAAGGGCAGGCAGTGAGTGAGGTGAGGGGCTGAGGATCATCGGCTCAGGGTTAGGAGTTGAGGGACAGAGGAGGTAAGAGTTTTGGATGAGGTGGAGGTATTTAAAGTAGATATGGGCTATGCGTAACAGAGCTGCTAAGTGTCTCAGGACCATTGGGAGCTTAGGCCTTTGGAGGTCCAGAGGTCGGTATTTTAATCAGCCCACTGTGGACTCACCCCACTCCCATTCCTGCCTTGGGGTTGCAGGCCCTGCCTTAAAGGTACCTAAGACCCTGGAAGAACTTGCCTGCGGTGGTCTTCAATGGAGACAGGTTTTGTCTCAACTTCGAAATGTTGCCTCTGGCTCGAAATTCTAGACTGTGCTTTCTAACTTACCTGCATCCTTCTCACAGGAGATATAAGAAATTGTAACTTTGAGGTTTGCTTGTTTCTTGTGGGCCAAGAAATCCAGGAGTGCCATTCTTATTCTCTCAGTGAGGAAACTGGGCACCCTTCTGCTTTCACAGCACCCACTCCCTTTTGCTACCACCTTCCGCCATCCAACATTTACCACCCCAACCCCCCAATTCTCTCAGATTTTCCAAATCCCCACCATTTACTTCTATTTACTTCTCTGTGATCACCTGATCTAGCACAGCAACGCTGCCCTCTCCCACCACTTCCAGCCCACAGCTTGTGACAGGATTCCCACCTACTTTAGGCAGGAGTCAATACTGGGATTCTCCATTAGAAAATTAAAATCTCTCACATCTCGTGCTGTGGAGCCACGTTACGGTCCCAGTCAGTCACTATCCCCGTGCTTTACTTGGCCCCACGCAACTCAGGTCCACAAATTTCTTTAGAAACTGACCCTTCCTGACATGGCCATTTTCACACCATTCCCTTCGTCCGAGGAATTTGTGGGAAGGAAAGACTGAATGCCCAACAAAGAAAAATATACTCATGGAGAGCCACAGCAACAGGCACTGGCAGCTCCTCTAGAATGGCTTAAATACAAACTAGATGAAGTATGAGATCTGAAACCAGTATAAAGTTTTCTTCCACATTAGCCTGATCAAACTGCTTTGCTTTGTACACTGTGGAAAGTTAAGAAGCTGGAGCAAGTCAGTTGAAATAGCTTCCTTGATCAAAGCAAGTGCCTGGGGTGAACTGCCTCAGTATGAAACACAGCACGGTTAACTTCACATACATTCTGTGCTGATTGAGATGGCTAGAGATACATGCTCTGCTTGGCAGTTAACAGCTGGCTGCTAATCATAGTTATTTGGTTGATGATCTGTCAGTCTGTCTGTTAATCATCTTTGAATCTCTCAAAGACGAATTACAGCAAATACTGCATTTGTCCATCTTTGTTCTTTTAGCAATTACTGCGGTGTGAACCTTTGGCAAAATGAAAGAGAGAAATCCAGGGCTGGAGCTGCAGCAATAAAGTGCAGTGAGCCCTTACACCAGCACCTGCAGGGCTACGATGTAACACATGCAAACGTTTTATTGGAAAGAATGACAGTTGTCCAATTGAAATTTGTTCTTGGCCTGTCAACCACTGTACATTTGTAAATTATTCACCCAATGATGCCACTAAATTGAAGATATCCTCTTAAAAAGAGTCAAGGACTTTATTAGGAATGGTCACATAATGTGGCAGAAAGCCTCTATTTGTTTACCTTTAATTGCCGTCTCTAAAAGCACCTCTCATAATTGTACAAAAGTAAAAGGCATGGTCATATTTAAGTTTGAATTGGTGTAGTGATTGAATGATAATACATTAATTTGCCTTAACCCAGTTTTTGATTCTTCTGAAACCATCATTGTCTCTAATTAAACTCAGACAAACCAATGCATTGGGACAAGTGCAACAATCTGTCAAGACCATGTTTGCTGATCAGTCTCATCTCTTATGCTGTTACAGATGAAAATCACAGAGGATGATCTATGGATCAGGACATACGGTCGGCTTTACCAAAAGCTTTGCTCTTCATCAGGAGACATTCCTATTGGTATTTATCGCACAGAGTCACAAAAACTCACAACATCAGAGGTACGTGCATCAACTAATTCATAAACGTGCCCTTAAATGAAAGCACTTTTTAAATTCAGTTTGAAAAAGTACAAAAATCCTCATGTTTTGTTTTTGTTTTCAATTTAAACTGTTAAATAATTTTGCTTTGTTTCTAATCTATTGTTTTGAAGAAACAGGAATATAAGACAATTATTTATTCTCCTTTAGTTGTTTTTAATCTTTGAATGCTGTTTCAGCAATGACTTCAAAAACTCAGTCAATGTATTTGTTGAATCTCTCATGAGAGAGCTGAATAACATTTCTGAACTTCAAAGAAACTTGAACAGAAGAACACCATTTTGAGTTTTATGTGTTAATCCATTTGAAAGCTGAATCTCTGAGTGATATTCTATGCGCAGATGACATGGTGTCACACGAGTGCTTTCTTCACCTCTTCCCAGGAGCCCACAAGCAGAAGCTTGTGGTGAAACCCTGCTGCCACCCAGATCTCTTCTTAAGAACCCCAACAGGCAGCTAAGAGAGGGCTTTATCTGTGCCCCCTCTGTCAGCCACGGACCTAATTGAGGCAAAATTGGGAAGGTAACAGGGTCTGCCACTCTTCTGCCTGATTAAATGCCCCTGCTACACAATGCGCAATGGTGGGGGGAGCATTAGGGGGGTACATTAGCTTCCACCCATTACTTCTAAGTGCCAGCTTCTATTTCATTTATTGTTGAAATCAGATTTCAGAGATATCCAGATTGAATGTGCATTTCACAGAGAATGCAGCATAAAAATTAATATTTCACATCAACAAATTGACTAAAAATTAATGAGGCCCGAGCATTCAGAGTCATTTGAAGTTTCTCATTAGCAAATTAAGCACCAGTTAAAGAGAAAAAAAAAACATTTGTCATGTGGCTTTAACCAGTGCAAGACTGGTGAACTTTTAGATGTCAAGTTGGAACTGGTTAGAATAAAAGACGTACAGTTAGCAACACAGGTCCAGCTTGCAGGTATACATATCTAGCCAGTGGGCCTACAGGCCTACAGTGAGTTACCAATAGTTTTGTAAATAGATTATACCTCTCCAGACAATTGGGGAAATATTTAACTCCTTCCTTCATGACCTGCAAACCACTTCTTCCTGTTAGCTGTGCATTGCCTGTAGCAGTCAAATTACATATGGCCTTTACTTTTTGTGTGAGGCATTGAGGTATTAGGAGAATTACTTGCCACAGAATTCCAAGCCTCTGATCTAGTCTTGTGGCCAAAGTATATATCTGACAGTCACGCTTTAATTTCTGGTCAGTGGTAACTTCCAGAAAGTATGAGATCTAGTGATGGTTAAAGTTTTGGAGAAGATTTGTAGCTCGGGTTTGTAGCTTGAGGTTGCAGACTTGCTCGCCAAGCCGATGTGTTTGATTGCAGACATTTCGTCATCCTGCTAGATAACATCGTCAGTGTGCCTCTGGTGAAGCGTTGGTGTCGTGTCCCACTTGTTATTTATCTGTCTCGGTTTGCTGGGGTGATTAACATATTTCCCAGTTCTGTTTTTCAGTGGTTTGTATATCGGGTCCAGACCAATGTGTTTGTTTATGGAGTTTCGGTTGGAATGCCAGGCCTCCAGGAATTTATTCATTCATGGGATGAGGGCATTGCTGGCTAAGCAGCATTTATTGCCTATCCCTAATTGCCCAGAGGGCAGTTCAGAGTCAACCACATTGCTGTGCGTCTGGTGTCACACGTAGGAAGGACTGAGGATGGCAGATTTCCTTCCCTAAAGGACATTAGTGAACCAGATGGGTTTTTCTGACAATTGACATTGGAATCATGGTCATCATTCGATCCTTAATTCCAGATATTTTATTGAATTCAAATTCCACCATCTGCCATGGCGTGATTTCCACCCAGGTTCCCAGAACGTTTTCTGAGTCTCTGGATTAACAGTCCAGCAATAATACCACTAGGCCCTTGCCTCCCAAATTCCCTGGCATGTCTCTGTTTGGCTCGTGCTATCATGGAAGTGTTGTCCCAGTCAAATTCATGTCCTTCTTTGTCCGTGTGTGTTGAGACCAGTGAGAAATGGTCGTGTTTCTCGGTGGCTAGTTGCTGTTCATGTATCCTTATAGTCAGGTTTCTTCCAGTTTGGCCTATGTAATGTTTTTCACAGTCTTTGCAAGGTATTTTGTATATTACATTAATTTTATTGGTTGTGGGTTTGGGATCCTTTATATTCATTAGTAGCTGTTGCAGGGTGGTTGGTGGTTTGTGGGCTACCCTGATACCTAGGGGTCTGAGTAGTCTTGTAGTCGTCTCTGATATGTCCCTGATGTACAGGAGGGTGGCTAGTGTGTCTGGCCATGTTGTGTCTTCTTGTTGTGGTCTGTCGTGGAGGTAACAGCGGATTGTGCTTTTTCGGTATCCATTCCTTTTAAAAACTCCGTATAAGTGCTCCTGGTCTGCTTTGCACAACTGCGGATTGCTGCAGTGTGTTGTGGCTCATTTGAATAATGTCCTGATGCAGCTCTGTTTATGGATGTTGGGGTGGTTGCTGGTGTAATTAAGTTTCTGGTTCGTATGGGTGGTCTTTCTGTATACGTTAGTCTGGAGTTCCCTGTTGTTCCTACGTTCTACCATTATGTGTAGGAAGGGTATTTGTTTATTGTTCTCTTCTTCTTTTGTGATTTTTTTTCCGGTGAGGACGTTGTTTATGTGTCGGTTGGTTTCTTCTCGTGTTGTGGGTTTGATAAACACAAAGGTGTCATCTACATATCAGACCCAGAGTTTGGGTTGTATAGTGGGGAATGCTGTCTGTTCTAACCTTTGCATTACCGCTTCTGCAATCAGACCTGATATTGGGGATGCCATTGGTCTTCCATTGATTTGTTTGAATATATGGTCATTGAAGGTGAAGTGAGTTGTGAGGCACAGATCCAACAGTTTCAGGGTGCTGTCCTTGTTGGTGTCGTGGGGTGCCTGTGTTCCAGATTCATCCAGCAGTGTGGCAATTGTCTCTTTGGCTGCGTCAATGTTTATGGATGTAAATTGTGCTGTTACGTCAAAGGATATCATTATCTTGTCCCCTTCTATTCTGGTGTCCTTGATGATGTTGAGGAATTCTTGGGAGGAGTGGATGGAGTGGGTAATGTTGTCAACTAAGTATTTCAGTTTCCGTTGTAGTTCTTTGGCTAAACTATATGTTAGTGTGTTTGGTAGTGAGACCATGGGTCTGAGGGGGACTCCAGGCTTGTGTACCTTAGGGAATCCATAGAAGCAGGGTGTGTTGGATCCCTCTGGCTTAATTTTTTAGTTGTCTGTCTTGCTGATATCTCTTGAGTTGTGTAATTTCTTCAGGGTTGTTTTAATCCAGTTCTCTAACTGTGGTGTTGGGTCTTTCGCCATCTCTTGATAGTGTCGGTGTCTGTTGGTAGTGCGTTAGCTCTCTTGATGTATTGGGCTCTATCAAGGAATACTGTCATGTGCCCTTTGTCCCCATTACATTACAATGTTTCTGTCTTTCTTGAGTCTTTTCAGGGCTTTCTTCTCTTCTATGTTGAATGTGTTCCACTTACCTTCTCTGCTCAGTGCTGGGACTATCGTCTGTCTGATGGTCTGTTGTATTTCCTCCGCGAGTCCGTTGTTCTTTAGTGTCGATTCCAGTGCAGCCAGGAAGTCAGTATTATTTTGGTGTCTCTGTATTCAGCCTGCGTACTAGGACGGTCTTCTCAGTGTCGGTAAGTGGTCAGTCTGAGATGTTCTTGATCCACGTTTCTGTGTTGTCCATGTCATTGTTGTGGGTGAGTTTGAATAGTTTTTCTTGTAGGGCTATTCTTTTCTTTGTTCTGGTCTTTTGTTGTTGTGTGGTGATGGTTTGTTCCAGTGTGGTTGTCCATTCTTGGTCACTTGTGTTGGAGTACAGAGTTTTTTGGCAGCAATTTCCCGCTCGTATTTGTGGAGCTGATTGTGGGCATTGTTGATCATAACTCTTACCACTCTGCAGCTATTCTCCGTGCCTATGGATTGTTGATAGGTGGTTTGTATTAGTTATTTATTGAACATCAAGAGGTGATGGCTGGATTCTCACCTGTTAATGATGGTCATTTGCTTGGGACTTGTGTGGCAGAGTTGTTACTTGCCACTTATTAGCCCAAATCTGAATGTTGTCTAGGTCTTGCTGTACATAAGTACATGACTGCATCAGTAACTAAGAAGTCACAAATAGTGCTGAACATTGTGTGATCAAGGGTGAGCTAATCTAACTTTATGCTGGAGGTAAGTCAATAACGAAGATGGTTGGGTCCAGCACTCTATTCTGAGAAACTCCTGCAATGATGTCCTGTGGCTGAGATGACTGATCTCCAATAGTCAAGTTCCTTCATGCGAGGTATGAACTCCAACTTGCAGAAAATTTCCCCCAACTTCCATTGATTCTACCTTTGCTAGACCTACTTGATGCCAAACTCTGTCAAATGCAGCTTTGAAGTCAAGGGCGTTCACCCTCACCTTTGAAATCCAGCTCTTTTGTCCATGTTTGACCAAAGGTTGCTGAGAGGTCAGGAGCTGAGTAGGCCTGGCAGGATGCAAAGTGAGCATCAGTGATCTAGTTATCATTGAGTAGATGCTGCTTGATAGTGGTTTTGATGACACCTTCCATCACTTCACTGATGATCAAGAGTAGACTGATGGGGCGGTAATTGTTCGGAATTTAACCTGAGTTTTGTGCACAGGACAGAACTGGGCAGTGAATGCAGGCATTGTAGCTGTACTGGAACAACTTAGATGGAGGTGGAGCACAAAGTTCTACAGCACAAATCTTTGGAACTATTGCCAGAATGTTGTCAGCATCCGTAGGTTTTGCAGTATCTGTTGTCTTCAGCCATTTCTTGATTTCATGAGAAGCAAATTGAATTGGCTGAAGAGAGGCATCTTTGATTCTGGGGACCTCGGGTGGATGACAAGATGAATTGTTCACATAGCACTTCTGGATGAAGATGCATGTGAACACTCCAGCCTTATTTTTTGCATTGTCGTATTGG